GTCTTGTGAGAGGTGTTTGAGAAATGCTATGAAGTGTTAGTAAGTAGTATTGTAATAATATTGAAATGCGGACAACTAGATCTTGTTGTGTGTCACTGTCATAGAACGTTACCAAAAACCTATAGTAATTTTGACTGCGCATTGGTCCTATTGACGTAAATAATTGTGGCTGACGTAGAAGTAAGGCCAAGTGGTCTTTGGAGTTGTTATCAGTGTTAACATAAATTTGGCCAAGTCTTGAGTGAGCCCTAAGGAATGGTTCATAGGTGTATGTTCTGACAAAACGCCCGGTATTCAATTTAATTTTAAATAAACTATCTGAATTGAATTGAAACAGTTTATTTAGCCAGAAAAACAAAGATATAGAGTGGATAATAATAACAATATTAACATGGCTGAGCCAGTTGAGAACCTGAGCTCTCTTTGAGGCACCTGATATATACTATACATTTATCTCAAGGAAGTTGTGCGGATGATTTGTTTGGTTCACACTCAGGATGGGTTGGAGAAAGGAAACTCACAATGTGCTCTCTGTATACATGTTGTATTGGATGTACAATGCAGCTTGGTGCTGGGAAGGCAGCATGGTTACAAGCGTGATGTAGAGAGAGCTGGTTGGTGAGGATGCTCAGAGGAGGACCAGCTTGTGGGTCGCCATGCTCGCCGGAGGGAGCGAGGGCCACCAGGCAGGCAGAGGAGGAGGAGGTGTTGCTGGCTGGTTGGTGTAGGTAGAAAGAGACAGGTCACCACGAGGTCAGGTCTTAAATAGCGGGGGGTAGGCGTGGCTTAGTAGTTGACCCCCGCTCCGTGATGTATGGCGGCGCTGGTTGACCTAGACCACGAGGCATACACTGGGGAATTGGTGGGGTCGGCTACTCAGCGACAAACAGCGTTTGTAGGGGAGAAATCCACTACAATACTCCCCCTTCCCTCCAGGCGGTGTAGGAGACTTGTTGTCTGCAGGGTTGCATAGCACATGTGAGGCAGAACGGGCGGTGCATGCCTCATGTGAGACAACGGCGATGGCGTGGATGAGCCGGTCGCTGGATACAACTGTCTATATACACACTATCTATGGGAGAAGAGAGGGAGAAAAAGGGTGTGTGGAGGCGATGAATGTTGTGCTTCCCTCACGGCAGGTACAGGGTCGTCAGATGCGCCTGCTGGGGTGTGTGGGCCTGGGTCAGGAGCAGGGGCTGCGTCAGCAGAAGCGGATGAGGGCTCGTGACAGCAGCTGGGTCCACGACAGCAGCAGGGTGCAGGACATTAGCAGGGAGTACCTGAAGGAGAAAAGAGGGGTATGTGGGTCCGCAACCAGGAACAGAGGCCGCATCAGGGGCGGCAGGGGTTACTGCTGGGCCAGGGTCGGCGTCTGAGGCAGGACGGGTGTGCTGGGGTCGGAAGAGGAGCGACTGTCTGCTTCGAGTAGCAGAGCTGCTCTAGGGTGTCTAACCTGCGGTGTAGAGACAGTAGTTGTAGAGCCGATGAGAGCTGCTCCTGTGTGGATAAGCCAGTCTTCCATGTTGCTTGAAGACTGGGAGCGTGATCAGTTTCTCCTCCATCCTGTGTGAGTGCGAATCTCCGGGAGTAGAGAAGAGGCTATTGAGCTGGAGTCACAGGCGTGAGCCTCTTCCAGAAGATCATCTGTGAGCAGTGACGGGTTAAGACTTTCGTAGGCCTTAGGCACCTCCAAGATATGGGGCCCCATTTGACAGCATATTCACTAATAACACAAGCTAGTACCTAATTATAAAATGTGATGTCGAAAGAATAAGATTCAGTGATGTTTGCCATGAATTGAGTAAAAGAAAATGGGTTAGATCAGCTGTTCTTGTACAGTACAAGTACAGAAATACATTTGTTTACAAGAAGCACAGCTAGCTGGTGGACACTAATAGGATTAAGTAATAAATAAATGGAAAAAAAGTACCTCAGTATCAATTTAATAATAACCTGTAGAAAAAGGGGAAGAAAAGTTCTCGTTTTATTTTTCGTAGGCCCTAGGCACTGTGCCTACTGTGCCTAATGGATAATCCGGGGCTGTCTGTGAGTATCTGTATACTCACTCTGTGAGTATACAAATAATCTTTACAGTGTTTTTGTCCTCCAAGCTTGTCTTCTATCATCTATACAATAAGTGTACAATTGAATTTGCTTAGGCTTTAGCTAGCCACTCACTGGCACGTAGGCCAGTAAAAAAAAAATTACCAATAAATTTTCTGTTGCATTATGACAAAAAAAAATTCTGGGGAGTTAATTTTAGTTTAACAAATTTATTGGCAGAGCTTGTAGTACAGTTTGCCTATTCTGAGTAATTCAGTCAGTTCTTGACACTGAGGGTGGTATCACTTCTCACTGTCACGCAGGACAGAGGTTCACATACAAAGAAATACATCATATTCATTAACAACTATAAATGTATATAGGTCAGATTCATATGGATAATGTCACTGTTCACTGCCATGCAGGACAGAGGTTCGTACACAAAGAGTTGCATCATATTCATTGACAGTACATATACATATATGTAAACACACACACACACATATACGTATATACATACACATATACATGTACACGTACATATACATGCACACACGCACACATACATACATATACAGTACGTCGGTCAGATTCATGTGGGTAATGTCACTTTTCACTGCCATACAGGACAGAGGTTCGTACACAAAGAATGCATCATGTTCATTGACACTATATATAGGTCAGATTCATGTGGGTAATGCCACTGTTCACTGCCACGCAGGACAGAGGTTCGTACACAAAGAAGGAAATACATCACATTCACCAGCAGCATATATTGGTCAGTGGATCACATACATTGGAGTCATATTCTAATTGAAGACTAATCAGTGTGGGCTAGCAAATTTGGGATAAACAGCAAGAATGTCCTCAAGCACACCTGATTCAATGAAGTAATTACATAGTTCAAGATACAGTAAGTCAGGTGGCCTGAAGTCTTTGACAGTGTCACATTCAATAATATAGTGTTCAAGTGCAGTGGCGGCTCGTGCATAGGGCTGCAGTCCCCCCCAGACACTCACTGCCAGGCGTATGATTCCTTTAGAGAGACAGCTGAATAATACACTACCAACAAATATATCATTTTATATGTTATTTAATTATTTTCAATACGTTGCTAAGTGAATTTTCATTAAAATCAGACCAAAATTTAAGTTACTTTCACAGTTGCTGTCAATGCTGTACGATTCATGTCTGTTATTAATTGGCGCCGCCGCCGCCGCCGCACTTGAAGCAGCTCAGTCTCGTACAACGTGTGGACGGTGTGGTTAAATCGTGCTTTCTTTAATTACCCTTTGACGATGGAAAATCGAGTGAAGTATTTGCAGAAGCCGAAAGGTGCTTTTCAAGTTTGAAGAGAATTAAAACTTTTTTGCGCAGTACCATGGTGAATGACAGACTGTCTGCTTTAGCAGTGATATCCATTGAAAATAAAATGATAACAGAAATAAAGGATTTTAATGAAATAGTAATAAACAATTTTGCTACATCGAAGAGCAGACACGCGGACTTTATTTTCAATTAATACTGGTCCATCACCACCAACACTACTACCATGCCCTGGGAATTCGTGGACATCAACTACAACTCATACCTGAGGTAGGTCAAATTTGTGTATCCTACTGTTGTGTGAGGCTTGCAGTCCCTCCATTTTATTTTTCACGAGCCGCCACTGTTCAAGTGTATGCTTTAAAGGTTTATCACAAAGTTTACACGCTGAGTGTTACGGTATGGGTACAGCGTTACTAACTTGCCAGATGTGTCTGTATCCTAGCCTAATTCTGGCCATGACTACATCACATTGTCTGGTTCTGTCCTTATGCTGGCCATACCGGTACCTCTTGTTACAAAATTTGTCATATTTACTAATGCTACAACTGTCAGCTCTCTCTGCATTTCTCAGTTCTTCTAGATCAGAGTTCATGATTCTGACTTGAATGTTTTTAATTACGGCATTGGACAGACCAAAGTCGCGGTCAACATTTTCTTTCTTACATGCCTCATTGGCCAGTCTATCAGCACGGTCATGATACCTGATTCCAACATGGGACGGAATCCACACAAATTCGATACGAAAGTTGTTCTCATTTAATATCACATGCAACTTTAGACATAGAGCCTGACGGGCTGTTCATTGATTTCAAAGCACTTTGAGTCACAGAACATCACCCCACCTCCATTTTCTTTGAGGTAGTCTGTGGCTAAGTAGATTCCAGTTAGTTCAGTTTGTGTTGTGCTGGCCCAGTTGTTCAGCCTTTGTTTGTTTGACACTATCATCTCTTTTTCTTTATATATTACAATTGCACAGCCTGTTCTACCTGTGTTTGTCTGCACAGAACCATCAGTAAAAGCATAACATTCACTTGATTTAATACTCTATGTGTGTCTGTTAATAGTTTCTAGTGTGACACATCTCACCACATCGGTGTTTAACATTTGCTTACTACCAACAGGAGTGTAATTAATAAGAACTGATATGTCCAGCCAAGGAGGAATGGCATTAATAGGTTCGTCTGGGGTGATTGGAACATTCAGTTTCAGGATATCTGCAACACTTTTATGAAGCCACGCCCCAAAGAGAGTCTTTTGTGGAGTAACTACTGTATATCATTCTAACTCGCTCAGTAATGTTCATATTTTGTAGTATCTTACCCCTCGTTTTAACACGATGATGTCTGTGAATATCAAATGAGTTTGCTCTAAGTATTTTCTATTCACCTACACGAATAGGCTCATGAATAAATCAAAAGAGCAATATATCAATCATCCAGGTAAATTTTTATGCAGTTTTGTGTCGTCATTATTATTGCAAATATGGGAAATATTATTTTTAATTATGTACAAATATAATTACAGTACAGGGTACATTATTTCAGACTCTAGTAAATGAAATGGAGAGAGATGTGTGTTAGACCACAGCATTGTGACCCCTCAGAGTGTGAGCCAAATAACAACAATGACAACAATCGTAGTTTGCCAACATGGCCAGTTGGGGAGGTGAGGAAACTGTCTGTTTGATGAATAGTCTTTCAGGGATAAGATGTTCATGTAACTAGTAGAAATTGTGCATTTAAATAAATTATGGTAATTTCGGTATTATTACTTTTTAATTGCCCCACAACTTTTGGCTTTCTTTAATATACCTATCATGTACAGGTAAGGTAGTTTAACGTACTACCGTACCCTAGACAATTTTAAGCACAATGGATATTTTGCCGTGATCGGCAAAGTAGTATTAGTATCCTGGTGAAGATTATCCCTGTTGGTATTTATTGCCAGGCTCGGCCCATATCTACTGTACGCATTAACTACCAAGGTGATTCTTGAACTAGTTAACGGATGTTGCTTGAACTACATACTGATCCAGATTATTCCATTTGTCCACTGCTCATTGACTGAAAGTGTGTCTTCTTTTGGTATTATTTTAATTTCGGAAATAGCGCCTTGAAAGTTATAACTGACACGTTTAGATCTCGCTATTCTGAGCATTTTGAACCCATACCTGCATGGCGGAAATGGATAATAGCGACACAATTTAATTAAATTGATTTTAAGTAGTTTTCAGTCTCCGTCTGTGAGGAGATGTTATCTGCACATCACACATGTGCAATGTTAGAACATAAGAACATAAGAAAATAAGGAGTCTGCAATAGGCCGGTTGGCCTGTGCATGGCAGCTCCTGTCGAGAGTTACTACCACTCTATCATCCATGAATCTATCTAGCCCCCTTTTGAAACTTTCCAGAGTTCCTGCACTTACTACAAAGTTGCTAAGCTTGTTCCACTCGTCCACCACCCTATTTGTGAACCAGTTTCTTCCTATCTCCCTCCTAAACCTAAACTTATGCAACTTGAATCCGTTGCTCCGAGTCCTATCCTGCTCGGATATTATAAGAACTTTATCTATATCCCCTTTATTGATTCCTTTCACCCACTTAAATACTTCTATCATATCTCCCCGCACTCTTCGTCTTTCTAGGGAATGCAAGTTAAGTTTCTTTAACCTATCCTGATATGGAAGGTTTCTAAGTCCCGGAATCATTTTTGTCATTCTTCGCTGCACCGACTCTAGTGAATTTATATCCATTCTATAATAGGGGCACCAGAACTGAACCGCATAATCGAGGTGGCCTGACTAGCAAGATATAGTTGCAATAAGACCTCTGCACTCTTGTTACTTACACTTCTAGATATAAAACCCAATACTCTGTTTGCCTTATTTCGAACATTAACGCACTGTTTTCTAGGCCGTAGGTCCGGGCTTACAAGTACCCCTAGGTCTCTTTCACAAGTCGACTTCTCTAGGTTGATGTTGTTAAGGCTGTATACATTATAAGTATTTGTTCTTCCAATATTAAGCACGCTGCACTTGCTGGTGTTGAATTTCATTTGCCATTTTTCAGACCACCCCTGCAGCTTATTTAGATCCTCCTGTAATGCATTTGCATCCTGCCCTGATGTCATCCAGTCGTGATCAATGAAGTATCAATATCATCACGCGAATTTTTTTTTTACCAATCACATTTGATTTTTCTCAAAGGAAGCAGCCTGGGTACAATTTTAATTTCATTGACCAGTTTGACAGTGGCCGTGGTGGAGGTTGGTTGTCTTTTGTGCTTCTACGATTATTTTAAGTTTATTTCCTAGTTTTACGAGAAAGACAACCATTCTATCCAATTCTTACATATCCCTGGTCCTTCCACTTCCAACTAAGGTATTGTACTTTCGGACATGGCGTGCCCCAAAGTTTTTAACTACTGAAACATTTAGGTTAGTTTAAGCTAGACCTACCGGGGGGTCTTACCCCAGCTAGGAGTTAGGTTAAGCCAGCCGGGGGTCCGGGGACGGAGCCCCCATGGCTAGGAGTTAGGTTAGGTTTTGTTTGGTCAGATGACTCATTTTCGTTTTCTCCCCCACCCAAAAATCCCGATTTCCCAGGCTCTTTCCCATTTTTGTTGGGGGGGGGGATGGGTGGCTTGGCAAAAACTAGCAATTCCCACCCAAAATGAAGGTCAGATTCGTTTAAAACACACCAAAATACTGTACACTGAAAAAACATATTGGTCAACCCCTCGGGACTCATCCCCTAAAGTAAAAATTTACCCTTCTCCTTTCTTTATTTCCTCTTGGCTTTTGTAATGTGTGGTTATGTCCTCTCAAGTTTCCTTGACATATTCGGTCTTGGAAAAATTTGTATCTGTCTACATTTTCGTAACCGTTATATTTTACGTCTCAATTAAGTCTCCTCTATTCCTTCTCTCTTCCAAAGTGGTTAATCCCAATTTTGCCTGTCTTTCCTCATAAGATAGGTCAGTCAGTGTTGGTACAATTTTTGTTGCTCTTCTTTGCACTTTCGCAATACTATCAATTTCACCTCTGTGATACGGCATCTACACTTGTACAGTACACAATACTGTATTCCAAGTGAGGTTGAATGTAGGTTAAATATAGAGTCTTAAAGAGTTCTTCATTTGTGTAGGTAAACGTTCTCTTAACATTTCTGTGTAACTGGTTTGCCTTTGCAATTGATTTTGCTATATAACTCTTAAACATTAAGTTGTTACTTATCGCAACTTCAAGATCCTTATCTTCCCTTACCACATTCAGTCTTAGGTTATTCATATACAGTCAACCCTCGCTTTATGCGGTCCCACTTTTGGCGTTTCCACGTTTACGCGGTACCCTGCCGAAACCGGAATGCTCACTTTCCGCGGTGTGTGTGCCCTTTTACGCGGAGAGCGGCGCGAGCAGGGTGCGCACAAGGTCTCCCAGTCATCAAAACATTACCGAGTTCTTCACCCGCCACCCACCACAGCCGGCCCAAGTCAGTGATAGTGATAATGATAGTGAGGATATGGACTTATATGGACTTTGAGGGGTTTGACAAAGAGGCCCTGCAAGCCTCTGTGGTGGATAGTGATACAATTGATACAAGTGATACAGGTGAGGGCCAATAATCTGCCCTCTGCCTCGGAACCAACCGCCCATCCCCGTGTGCCCAGCCATCTTTTCTACTAATGTAAGTGTTAAAAAACTTAATATTATTGATATTTCTCTTAATTATTAATTGTGTGTGCATACCATCATAAAATTAAGAAGTTATTTTTACTTCAACGTGGGTATTGTGTCTGAAAAAGTGGAGTTTGGGGGTCGGCCCGGTCTCTATTTCAATTAATCCCATATGTTATGTTGTTCACTTTACGCGTTTCTCACTTTACGCGGGCCGCCGTGGGTTGAATTAACCGCGTAAAGTGAGGGTTCACTAATAATTAATTTGAGGATTATTATTGCCGACATGCATTACAGTACATTTACTCGGGTTAATGTTTAACATGTACACCTCTGACCAATTGTTCATCAGATTTAAATTTCTCTGCAATCCTGAAGTCTCCTCTGAATCCATCTTAACCTCTTCATAAATCTTGGTTAATGTATCAGTTTCAGTGGAACACCACTGGTAATGGCTTTCCAGCTGGATTCCACTCCATATATCACCACCTTCTGCTTTCTATCACTTAGACATTCTTCAATCTAGTTCAGGATTTGACCTCTAATTCCCAAGTTATTTAACTTATATATAATTCTCTTATGTGGAACAATCTAAAGCTTTCTGGAAATCCAAAAAAGCTACATCAAAATTTTTATTCTCATCATGCCACATAAGCCAGTCTTCAAGACTTTCTAGGAGGTTGGTTAAACACCATCTAAATCTTCAAAAGCCATGCTCTTGATTACATATTAATTAATTTTCTTCCAAATGCTCTGTATTAACATTTCTCACTAATTTTTCTAAAATTTTACACACTTGGCATGTCAGGCTAATGGGTCTATAACTGGAGGCCAAGCTACGATCACCTTTCATATACACAGCTGTAACCAGAGCTACTTTCCATTTGTTTGAGACTTTTCCACTCCAAAGTGATATATTGTACAGTATTATGTGTTAATGGACATGCAAATTGATCAGCTGCCACTTTCAAAATTCCTGCATGTATACCGACTGGCCCTGTTGTTTTATCTGGGTTTAAACTCCCTAGCATCCTTTTCACCTGCTCTTCTGTTACTTCAATATTATATATACTACATCTTGGAACAGGACACTTATACTGGAATGGCTCAATAATTTCAGCCATGAAAAACATTTTTGCAAAATCATTAAAATATAATAAATCTGCATCCTCTTCTATGTTAAAGACTGACTTATAATAGTCATTTAATACTTCACTAATTTCCTTATTAGATTCTGTGCATTCTGAATTATTTGTCTGTACTGTAATTGTAACACTAACGCTATTGTACCGTGAGTGCTCTATAAAAACTATTGCAGTTTCAGACCCAACTGGATTAGAGCAATTTTGTGTTACATTGTTAAGGATAACATCGTTTGACCTGTTACTAACATTCTTAATATCAACCCAAGTGCCTTGTTAGTCTTGTATCAAGCATGTACACATTGCTGACTAAGTTTTTTTGGTCCTTACTTATCAAGACTGTGCCTTACTCTTAAATCTTTGTCACATAGCTGTTCATCCCATAACTGGTTACCCTGTTTCCATTTTCCAGCCGTAGAACTAAAAAATTTTCCACATTAAATTGCATCTTCCATTTATCAGATCATAAAGTTTGTTTGGTTAGGTTTTCCTGTAATTTTACGGAGTTCTCGTCAGATTTAATTATAATGTGTGCCCTATTATTGTGTCATCAGCAAATTTACTTCGGTTTCTGTCAACACCTATAGCTATGTTGTTAATGTATATAATAAATAGTAATGGTCCAAGTACTTAGCCAGTGAAAATATAAACATTTATTTTCAGGTAATAGAAAGGTAACCACAAGATAACTTTAAGATTAGAATAATAGCAATAAAATGACTTCCAGGTGTTGAAGAAAATGAGCTGGATAACCGCAATCAGCAGAGGTCGTATGCCCTGGCAGGAAAAGTATCAGCATTACACTCTGTGAGTACCAGGACAGTATACAGTGCTTGTTTATATTTTTCTAACTACGTGTGTTAGGCATTTGTCTTATAAAGGTTTATTTGTTCATTAAGGTGATCCAGCAAACAAGGGGAATTTAGTAAACATTGATTTATTTATCACACGATAATAAAACATCAACTACCCGGAAATAAAGATACAGTACTGTACCATAGGATGGGGTAACTTCGGATGGTGTTTGAGGTTTTTTAAGCTGCAGTTTAAGTTTGAAGTCATTAAAGCATGTGCTAAGTCCATTCTTGGTTCGTGAACAATTGAGTTGTCGATACTGTCAACAGAAATTCAGGAAAAAGCATATGTTTTCAATGAAGAGAATATTTATAGGTGTCCTAAGTCAGACGGGTCTTGGGTGATTTTGGACAGCAGTGTTAATTCATTGACTGTACCTGTCCGAGCCTGACCAGACAGTCTGGGGTGGCTTTGGACAAAAATATGCAGCAACAAAATTACATATACTGTACAGTATACTGTACAGTACTATATACAAGTAGGTCAAAAAGGGAAAAAAAGTCAAGAGAAGGGAAAACTTTTCAAGAAAATTTTGTGATGTGAAAATAACATGCTACATGTACGTACGTATTTGGTTTTGTTAGGGGCTAAGTTTTTAAGAATATACATTAGGAGAGACAGCAAAAAATTTAATGTGGCACAGGCTTACAATATGCATGTTTTTGTTTTCTTTTTTCACTGAGCTGCAGATTACACATTTTGTTTTATCATTATTTTGTTGTCAGTACCATGCATAATGCCATCCCTATAGTACAAGTTTTATATCAGGCAATCTAGAAAATATGCATAAATAATGTATGGATTATGCCTCCCAAGTTACTTTTGAGCTGTCCGAAGTCACCCCAAGTCAAAGAAAATATTCACATACTGTACCTCCATTCAAGTCACATTTGCATGTACTGTACAGTATACAGTCAGTCCTCGACTTACGACGGGGTTCCTGACCAACGACCAGGTTGTAAGTCGAAAATGCAAAAATAATACATAGAAAATCTAAAATGAAATATGGAACAGTAAAAGTAATCAATAATGAAAAATTAATAAAGTGTTACTGTGCACTTACCTTTAATGTAGTCAGCTAAATGCACACGGGGCCTCAATAATTTTTTAATTAAACATGGAGACTACATTAATTGGATGAAGCAGAGGAGGAGACAGGGCTGGGTGAGTCATCAATTTCGCTTTCTTCAGACAGGCTAACATACCGTACTTGCTTTTGAAGGTATTGAATCATCTGTAGTGAGTGAGGAGACAGCAGTGAGGGACTTCTTAAAATATATGTCCAATTTAGGCTGCACAGTTTGCCTTTTCTTTTCATTGTAAATCTCCCTGTAGCAAGCAAGTGCATCTTGGATCAGTCTGTCAACTTTTTTCAATACGCTCAACATTTTGATCCATTTCTTCAAACATTTGCATCCCCTTATTAATAGTAGCAAATGCCTCTGCCTTGTCCTTCAAAGTTGTTGATATTGTCAAGTGAGAGAAAACAAGGTCGCGTGAAATGGTTGCTACCGTTTTTCCATTTTCATATTGCATTATTATTTTCATTTTAATCTCAAAAATAATTGACTCTCTTTTTCTTCTGAGCACCACCAGAACTCTCACTTTTACGCTTGCCAGTAATTTAAAGGGAATTAGAAACGAAAATTTTGTCAGTACACAGCGCAATCACTAACACCAACGACGGCCAAACACCAACTGAGCGGGCTATGGCATGGATGCTGTACACCACGAGGCAGCCCAGCCTACGCCACTCTGTCATACGGGACAGAAGCGTTTCGGGACTAGAAAATACGTACGTAATTTGAAACAAATTTTATACGACTGCGGCGGTCGTATGTTCAGGTGGTCATAAGTCGAGACTTGTTTCTAATATTTTTCACAAGCTATACAGACATACCTCGGGTTACAGAAAGGTTTGCCGTTCCTGAAATTTTTTTGTATTGTGAAAATCAGTTATGTGGGACTAATTTTTCTCATTGACTTCCATTATGTAATTTGAGATGCATTCCCAAGGAATCTTGAGGGGGGGGGGGGCTAAAAAACAGAATGCAGGTACAAGGAAATATATGAATGAAAATACAATAAACTGTTTTAAACACATCCATGTACAATGATTCATTCATGATGTAACATGACAATAAATGCACACACTTGAATTTAACTCACCAGACACAATGTTGAGTGCTGCAGGAGGTGGTGAGGTGAGGTGGTGTGATTGGAGGTACTGGGAGTTACTTCCTTAAAACATCAAGTTTAATGTCCAACGTAATTCCTTTATGGAACCTTTCACCACCACTGCTTTCACTTGAACTTGATGGCCTTATTCCATTCATCTCACACATGGGTGCACAGTAACACTGATGCATAACTGAACACAAACTGGGCAAAGAATTCAATCTGAGCAGTGCCATTGTTGTGGTAGCTGCTGGGGAGGTGAGCCGCCCTCCAACCATCTTGTAGCTGCCACCAATTTCTGTGATATCTTTTGTTCTATATCACGATTTTTATATGTGAAAAATTAATAAATTAAACCCAAATTCCAAAAGGGCGAATACAAAACCATCTTATATTTAAAAATTTGGGTGAACTTCTTTGTTATATTGTATACAGGTGCTCCTCTACTTACGAACGAGTTACGTTCCTGAGGCTTGTTTGTAAGTCCAATTGTTTGTAAGTCCAACTTTACTCTTGTAGATACCAAACATATTGTAAAAATTAAAAAGATTATGGATATTTAGTACAGCTATACCCTTTAATACAACCTTAAAACCTGGCTCACTCTTCTCCTCTTAGGTAATGTTTGTTCTATCTGGAATTTTCTTCAAAATAATCCAGTCTCACCACATTATACACCTGTTCTGGTAGGTAACCCCCCTCGGTGATGATGTTTGTATCTCTGAAAGTTTGTAAGTTGAACGTTCTTAGGTAGAGGAGCACCTGTATTGCAATATTTTTTTTTTTTATTATTATTATTTTTTTTTATTTATCCAAATTCCGTAAGGGAGAATTTTTGGGGTCGTAATTTCAAAATTCTGTCAGGGCAAATTTTCATAACCTTGGTTTCTGTAATGTGGGGGATGCCTGTATTACACTGTGTACTCTGGTACGCTCCTGCCAGAGAAAGTTTTGCAACATTTGAAGTTTTTGGAAAAATTTGATTTTGATTATTGAATTCTGTTTACATGTATTACTTACACTTTAAACTAGCAAATGATATTCATATGACATCTACATAGTTTGGAAAACATATTGATACAAAGCAAACTCTACTTGCTGTAACTGTCTGCGAGCTGTCACCTATTCAACTTTTTTCTGAGTTGTGCCCAAAATCATCCCATCTTGTGGTATATAACTTCTTTTAAGGGATCAGTAATTTTTTGTATTTCGAGTACTACAGTACAGTAATACAGTATTAATTTTATTTATGTAATAATCGTGACACTGCTAGTTATCTTTAAGTGTACAGGTTAGTTTTTGACCTTTGCTAATTATTTCTTTGGGTGAGATAATAATTGTTCTGCTCTGTGTTAATGGTCAGTTCCTTCTTTTGTATCATTCACACTGCAGCCTCTTTGTTCTGCCACACGTTCTATACTTCAGCCCTTCAGTAAACATAATAAGTGACTGATGAGTTCACATTTCCTAGTTTATTATTCTCTTACATCTTAAACTTACTGTATTACCCAATACTGTACCATTTACTGTATGCTGACCTATGTGTGTAGCTCAGGCTGTGCAGATAGCAGTGCCCAGGCTAGGGACCAGGCAAGAGATTTTTTATGTCCACATGCGTGGCACTTGCCCGGCAGAGAACCTAATATTTTGATAGGAAAACCTAGATGGGAAAATGTGAGGCACTGTGACACCCCACCCTCCCATGCAAGTTTAACCAGGACTGCTTGTCATCAGTGTAGCAGGATTAGTGACCTATATCAGGTGGAGGTAATTTATCTCTACATTAAGCCGTCAACCCAACTCTAGTTAGTCGGAGTCAAGTTGTCAACATTTCAAAGGAACCACCAAGCTGAGAGGCTGTAAACATGAGGTGACAGCAGTTATGACCTCACATGACAAGGATTACTGTCACTGATGCTATTTAGACAAGAGGTTTGTGAGTTGATACAAAATATATGAATGTTTTAAGATGTTATTTAATTTTTCCCATGAAAAATCAGGGCAATTAAGTATCAAAAGTCACTTGCTCAGGGCAAGTAAATGATCCACATGATCTGCACAACCAGGTGTAGCTACTTGGTAAATGCAGGTAGGGCTGAGGAACCTGTAGGGGTTTCATGGCTGCAACTGAGGGGTAAGGGATGTGTTGCAGTGTGCAGTCTTGCTGGCATTATTGTGCAGAAAACATGACTCACACTCAAAGTACTTACGAAACAATGAGGTACAGGAAGCCCTCGAGGTACAGAAGCACAAATTACAGGATCTACAAAATGTAGATCTTGTTTTGAGATATTACAGTAAAGAAAAATATATTGTGATGAAATTTTTTGAGTTGAAAATGGGGAAAACACATAAATTATTCCAACCACAAATATTTAATTAAATACAAAATGAAATACAGTACAGTATAGTACCACTACAGTACTTAATGTTTTATAAAAAGACATTTAGACTCGTACAGTACTATGTGTAAACTAAAATTAGATATACAGTGTACAGTACTGTACTACTGTATATCAAAGGTGCCCTTAATTTCTTAATATCTTCATTTAAAGTATTATTCTATGAGTACAGGTAGTCCACATTCACTGAGAGCTTATATACTCGGCCACAGGAAGTAAGACCGGGTGCAAGCGTCGCCAGTGTCGACCCCCCCCCCTTAGTCTAGACTTGTCAGAGAAACTTGGCGCGATTCTACACGACTAGGCTTTGGCTGAACTCCGTTGCTATGGAATGCGACTAGGCTTGTCAGGTGGAGGGGAGAGTATCCACTACAGCATCAAGGGGAAGACACGCAAGCCTTCCACTAAATCACTCTTTACTACAGTTCACTTAATTACAGTATTTTATGCATTCCTACATTATTTCATTCTTATTGTTTTAATATCATAAGAGTGGTTAAACTGGGTGTAGATGGTTTACTGTTTGTGAATGGTGGTTGAGTGTTGATAAATTTTATAAATGGCAGAGGTGCAATAGGTGATGTATAGTCATGAAAGGAGGAACATGGAGACACCTTTCAATTGTACTATACAGCTCCTCCCCGACTTACGACGGGGTTAGGGACCCAAATCCAGGTCATAAGTCGAAATGGTCGTAAGTCGAAAATGCTTAAATAATACATAGATAATCTAAAATGGGTGTCTCTTTGTCTTCTCAGCACCACAAAACTCTGACTTTTAAGCTTGCCAGCCATTTTAAAGTGAATTACAAACAAAAATTTTGTCTGTACTGGCGTTGGGACTCTAAAATACGTAATTTGACAAAATTTTGGTACGACTGAGGCAGGTCGTAAGTCGGGGAGGAGCTGTATGTTGTATATACAAGTACAGTATATGTATATTTATTTTATATTGATTTTTAAATGTTTCTGTATGAAAAGTCAACTGTAACCCAAAAGTTTCCAGCCAGAAACATATTCCCCATCATGGGAGCAGTGCCTGTATAAAGATCACACATGGCAGTTCTGGGCTGAAGGACCCACCCTACCCTATTTCAGTAGAGCTCATCTTGTTCTTCTTACATTTACTAAATAACCACTACTGTATGACTCTGTCTTTCATGTTACAGCTTTCACTGCATTTTTTCAGATCTTCCCAAAACTTCTCTTTCCTCCACTTTTTTTTCCTGGTACAGTATATAAGTACTCACAATATTCCAGAATACTCTAAACTTTACCCAACCCATAATGTTGTGTAATTATCCTTTCATCTTCTATCACATAACTCCACATTTTATCTCTCAACAGCATAGTCATACTCTCTGGTTTTTATCCCTCTATTACACTCCTGATGTTGTGCTCCTCACTTGTCTCCAACTTACCTCACAGAGCCAAGTCATTTGGGCTTCTTTCATTCCAGTCATCATAACTTCCATGTGACCACTTATTTCGTATTTCATATCATACTCGTTACACTCATACATATCCACATACAGTGGGGTATGCTATAACGAATCTAATTGGTTCTAGAACCTTGTTCGTTATAGCAATCGTTTGTTATAGAATTAATCCGTTCCAGGCCCCCAAATACAACCACTTAACACTGAAAAATATAATATAAAATTGTAAAAATTGTAAAAAAGTGCATAAATATGCATCTAAACCCCTGAAATAAAGAATATCATTAATATTTGTAATAATAAAACAATAAATTAGAAGAAAAAAAATTTAAATTATGTTCGTTGTAGGAGTTTCGTTCGTTATAGCATTCTCAATTTTATAGGTAAAACCGTTCGTTATAGGAATATTCGTAGTAGGATCCGTTCGTTATAGCATACCCCACTGTATCCCAGTCCTCTTTATTGTTTTTTCTCTAACATAACACAAATTTTGGAGGATGTGTGTCACTCACATGCTCCTGGACCAGGGCCTGGGATTTATCAAGTATTTAATAGGTAGTAGGCAGCTACCAAACAGGGAGGTACTACCATCTGGAAGATATTGGAAGCATAATGTGCTGCCATATGGCATCGCAAAAATTGTGACAAAGTCCCAGGTTGCTGACTTTACTTTCTTCCTCATTTACACACAATTGCAGGGTCTCATTTGTTTCTCTTACTATTGACAACACAACATACATACTGTATATCATTTCTTACTCTTGATTTATTTTTTTTCGTTTTTATATTTATTTATGGTTATTACTATTATATTATTTTCAGTTTTGTTTAATTTTTATCTATTTTTATTAATTATTATTAATTATTATTATTATTATTATTATTATTTTTATTATTATTATTTCATTTTCGCTCCCTAGGCTCTGATGTGGGTCAGTGACCTGTGCTCGTAAAAAAAAAATAGTGCCGCTATAGCATGTAGTCTACAAAGATATTTATACAATAGCATTATGGTCTACAACATTTTTACACTACATACTGTGGTCTACAGTTTGTCCACTACAGGTGCTCCTCTACTTAAGAACGTTCAACTTACAAACTTTCAGAGATACTGTACAAACATCATCTCTGAGGGGGGGTTACCTGCCAGAACATGTGTTTAACCCTTAGGCCCCGGGTGACGCTCCAAAACGTCTGCCTATTTTCCCGTTTTTTTTTTTTTAAGTTGATTTTTTTTCTCGATTTAACCCCTGCGGGGGAGGGGGGTGTTACTGCCAGCAGCACCACCCTAACCCGCGGCTTAAGGGTTAATGTGGATGAGACTGGATTATTTTGAAGAAAATTCCAGATAGAACAAACATTACCTAAGAGGAGAAGAGTGAGTCAGGTTTTAAGGCTGTATTAACGGGTATAGCTGTACTAAATATCCATAATCTTTTCACTTTTTACAATATGTTTGGTGTCTACAAGAGTAAAGTTGGACTTACAAACAAGCCTCAGGGACGTAACTTGTTCGTAAGTAGAGGAGCACCTGTACTTTAAAATGTGTACTATCAAAATTTTCTTACTGATTTAGTATTTTTGACAAGATTAGGTTAGGGTAAAGTAGGGTAGACTAAAGATATCTTTGTAGACTGCACACTGTAGTACTGTACCACCAAGTATTTATTCTTGCCTTATTTTCAGGTGATTACAGTACAGTACAGAGTACTATATTAGGACAACCTATAATTGGGTGAGATTGATGAAAAATTTGATATTGTTTGAATTTAATACAGTACTTTAGAAAAAAGTATGTACAGTGTATCAACAGATTTTTTACATTATTTCCAGCTTGCCCTTGACATAGAGAATGAAACATATGAACACAACAGACTGTTGGATGGCATCAGCAATGACTTCAGCAGTGGGGAGGGCCTCTTGTCTGGCAGCCTCAATAGGGTTAAGAATCTCCTGACAACTGGCCGACAGAATCGCAAGGCTATGTGCTACATGGCTGGATTTGTTATTTTGTTCATACTATTCTTGTGGTATGTTGTATCAAGACTCATCTCTGGGGAATAATTGGCATTAAGCTGCGGTGTTAAAATAACCTTCAGTGTTTTCAGATCTTGAGGAACCCAAATGTGTAATATATTGTTCTACTTTCCAAGGTATGGAAATTATGCCTCCAATTGTTGTGTACAATTGAACACCTACAACATAGAGGTTACATGTTCAGTTTACTGTGTGTGTGGGTGACATCTGCACTAAATTTCAGCAAAAATTAAGTCATTTTATCATGAAACTTGAGTATAATGACTCAAATCATCCTATACAGTATATTCATTTGTATGTGGTTATGGTTAACTGACAACTGTCTTGTGAATTGTATCATGGTCTTTAGTTTAAGTTTTTCTATTAGTGTATAAGCCTTCAATTGAAGCATTTCAGTTATCTTACATTGAAATGATATAATTGAAATACTTTGATGAAATACTAAGGAATATTTTTATACTCCATCAATTTCAACTCATTTGACCATTGCCACATGGCTGTGCTTGAGGCATATATATATATATTGTAGTGCTGTAACAAGTTTGGAACTTAAATTGTTCGTGAAAGTATTTTAGTCTTTTTAAACTGAAGGATGTATGCCATTGTTCTGTTGAATATGTACCGTGCTGTGATAATAGAGGAGGCGTCATTTCACTTAGGAAAATTGAATGGTCTGTGTAGAGGTAGTTACCCTACCACCCAAAGCTCTGGTTCCTTTCATTAGTTCTTGTTGGAGAAGTTTTCATTTCATTGTTATTCTGTTTAATGTATGAGAGCCTCACTCACATGGGGTGAAACAAATGTGGTAAATCTACTAATCCACCAACCACACTCCAGTCCCAACTAACGAGGGTGGACAAGGTGCACCAAGTCTCATGCAAAAGATTCACTTAGCCTCTCAAAATAAAGAAGAGTATTAACAAGTATATTAAGTCTAATGAGATTATTATTAGATAAGTAATAAGCAGTACATACAAAACCATTAACCAAATACATTACTGTACTATAGTTAATTAAACAAGTCTGTCAACTTAAGCTAAGCTAACATCCTTTGCACCTCCAAGGCAAAGAGCTATATCCAGATATTGGTGTCCCTTGGTTATCACGCCTAATTGGGACCACGCCGAGTGCGTGATAACGAAAAACGCGATAACAAAAGTACAGAACCTATGGGATTTATTCTAATTGGTACCAGGCTCCCAAGACCCAACCCTAATTATCCCATTTTACGACCATTTAGACCCACTAAAGATATAGATAATGTTATGGTAAGTATCAGAAACACACATAGGTTTATGGCTAGGTTTATTACAAAGTGATGAAAAGGGTACAATAAGGAAGAATACATTTGTTACTGGGTACGTTACTGTACTTACAGACTTGATCTGATCTTGAGGGAAGGGATTCCGAGGCTAGAGGGTAGAGAGTTAGTGGTCTCCACCTGGCACTAACTCTTCGAGTAACTCATCATCCTCTTGAAAACCCTCAAAGTCAGCTTGAGGTAGTACAGGTGGCTGTTGTTGTTGACGAAAGAAGTCCATAATTTGTCTCTGGCGCAATGCGTTGTGGTGATGGTTTAGCTGGTCAACATAAGACTGGAGTGCTCTGCCTATGATACCGGACACACTTTCACTGTCGCCTGCCGGGGGAGGGTGCTGTTCGATGTGGTGTCAACCGTTCTCTCAAGTCAATGATCTCCCTGACTTTTGACATGGGCTGTGTGGTGGGTTGTGCTTCTGGGCTGCCTTCCTCCATAATATCCTCAGCTGTAGGCATAACAGGTTCCAACATAACCCGTATATCGTCCTCTGTCGTCTCGTCGAACCCTCGTCCTGCCACACGCCTTGCCTCCTCTGCCTGGACAACATTTCTCCAGGCGTGGTTTATGGTCGCTGGCGTCACTGCACCCCAACACTTAACGATTAAGTCGATCGCTTCCTTGACATTAAATGCCCGCCAGTACTGCTTGACTTGCTGCTCCGCCTCTGTTTCTACGTCCCCCCCTCCCTCCTTCTCCTCTTGGTCCTCCTCTTCCTCACTGTCGACCAGCATCTGCTCAGCATTTTCGTCCTCAGTTGCAAAGCGCATCCTCCTGAATTGTTTACGGGAGTAAGCAGCCTTGACACACGAGATTATTTCCATGTCCATTGGTTGGATGAGAGATGTCGTATTAGGGGGTAGAAATTCCACTCGTATGTTCGGATGTGCTGATCGTACTAAAGGAGAATGGCCGGGAGTGTTATTTAGCAACAAGAGAATGTTGAAGCAGATGTTTTGTGCCTCACAAAAGGCCTGGACCTCAGGAACGAAGTTGTTAAACCAATCCAGTGACAGCTTCCCCGACATCCAGGCCTTGCTTGTAAGCCAGTTCATATTAAGCCTCGTCATATCTTATCGTTTGTAGGCTCTGGGCTTCTTTGCTCGATGGATAACTGTCGGTTTCATCCTGCATGATCCCGTAGCATTAGTGGTGAACAAGACGATGAAACGCTCCTTAATTGCCTTCCTGCCGCGGACCTTGGCTGACTACTTGGTGATGAATGTCCTCTTAGGCATGACCTTCCAATTGAAGCCCCGTCTCGTCCATATTAAAGATTTGGTCCTGGTTGTACTGGCCCGTTGCGATGATGTCCTGTAGGAGTTGAGGATATACCCTGGAACTGGCTCGGTCACCACTTGCAGCCTCACCCGAAATCTTCACATTCCTCACTTGGTGTCGTGACTTGAAGTTCTCGATCCAACCTTTAGAAGCGTTGAATGCAGGTGGGTTTGCCACTTCCTAGTGAGCTTCTGGTAAAGTTGTTTGGCGGTTTCCATCAAATCTCTGGTCTCGATGGCCATGTTTCTTCTTCCTTGCTTCTGAACATACCATACCAAAAGTTGTTCGTACATATAGTTGATTTAGCCATCCCATATTCATCACTTAATTTTCGCAATGCTTGTTCCATTCTCACGTTTCTTTATGATTCCTTTCTTAGGTTCAAGGGTTATGAGCTTTCTCACTCGCTTTGGATGATTCATTGTTACAATTGTACACTTGTATAACAAAATAGTCATACACATAACTCGTATTTCCACATCAAAAGACGAAATTTCATCAATAACAGTGGTGCACTGGATACACAATGAGACAAAGATGGCGCCTGACGCTCTTGTTGTGAGCCGCGGTACAACAATATTCTGCGCCAGACGAATTAGTCCCGTATTCATCCGCTTTCATTGTAGGAGTTGCGTTCGTTATAGCATTCTCAATTTTATAGGTCAAACCGTTCGTTATAGGAATATTCGTAGTAGGATCCGTTCGTTATAGCATACCCCACTGTATATATACAGCTAGACCCCGACTTACGACGGGGTTAGGGACTCAAATCCAGGTCGAAAGTCCGACATAGATAAAAAAATAAATGAAATAAATAAATTTAAAAAAAATTTCAATTTTTAAAAAAAAAATAAAAACTCTACAATGAAATACAGTACACTAAACGTAATAAATAATGAGGAATGGATACAGTACAGTAAAAGTAATAGATAATGAGGAATGGATACAGTGTGACTGAGCACTTACCTTAAATGTAGTCAGCTGAATGCACACAGGGCCCCCATAATTTTCTATTTACAGGATACATGGAGACTATATCATTTGGAAGAAGCAGAAGAGGAGACAGGGCTGGGTGGGTCATCAATGTTGCTTTCTTCAGACAGGTTTATGTGCTGTGAAAACTTGCTGGTTGAAGGTATTGGTTCATCTGGAGGGAGTGAAGAGGCAGCACTGGTGGGGTGTGAGGAGACAGCACTGGGGGACTTCTTGAAATAGATGTCCAATTTAGACTGCACAGTTTGCTTTTTCTTTTCATTATAAATTTCTCTGTAGCAAGCAAGTGCATCTTGGATCGTTCTGTCAACTTTGGCATAACGCTCATAATTTTGATCCATGTCATCAAACATTTGCATTGCTTTATTAATTGTAGCAAATGCCTCTGCCATTTGTTTCACTGAAAGCTTTTTGGGGGGTGCAGGTTCTTCTTCTACATTTTGTCTTTCTTCTTCCTCTGCAATTTTCTGTGCATCTAGTTCAATAAGATCCTCGTTACTGAGCTCTTCTGCTACACTTTCAACCAACTGTCCAATATCTTCAGTATCAATTTCTAACTCCAGCTGTTTACCTAACTCCACTATCTTGTTACAAATATCCGAAATAACTTCCTTTTCATTAAATCCTTTGAAACTGTGCACATATCTTTTCAGGATTTTCTTCCATATTCCATTCATGCAATGTTTTGTAACCTGATCCCATGCTGCACTAATGTTCTTTATTCATGACAAAATGTTGTACTCCTTCCAAAACTCTCTGAGCGTTTTCTCACCTTCAGTAGCAGCAACAGCCTGAGCGAAGGTCGTGCGTAAATAATACGCTTTAAAGGCAGCAATAGCACCTTGATCCATGGGTTGGATGATAGAGGTAGTGTTAGGTGGAATGTACACTACCTTAACATCAGGGTGCATGTCGTCCAGGTGTGGTGGGTGTTCCGGAGCATTATCCAAAATCAGTAAAATCTTGAATGGAATCTGTTGTTGCAGACAATACTCCTTGGCTCGTGGAATGAAACAAGTCATGAAACAATCCTCAAACAGTACTAGGGTCATCCAGGCTCTCTTATTACTGCGATAAAACACTGGCAGTGAGTGTGTGCTTGCTGACATGTTTAAAAGCCCTGGGGTTCTCTGAATGATAGATCATGAAGGGCTTTAGCTTGAAACCAGCAACATTCACCCCCAACAGAAGTGTAATTCTGTCCTTGAATGCCTTGAATCCGGGCATTGTTTTCGCCTCTTTGTGGATGTATGTCCACTCAGGCATGCGCTTCCACAATAATCCAGTCTCATCCACATTGAATATTTGTTCAGGCAAATAATTCCCTTCCACAATCACATCATCTAACTCCTCCTTAAAAGCTTCGGCAGCACCAACATCAGCACTAGCTGCCTCTCCACTCACCTTAACATTGTGTAGACTGTAGCATTTTTTAAATCTATCAAACCACCCATGACTTCCTGTAAAGGTTTGATCACATTCATCTCCTGCCTGCTCCTTCAGGCTTTGGAACAGGCTTCTTGCTTTAGCCGGTATGGTTAGAACGCTTAAGGGTACACGCTTCTGTATCTGGTCTTCTATCCATATCACCAATAATTTTTCCATATCGTGAATAGGACCTTGTCTTCTCTTTGATATTATAGTTCCCTTTATAGGTGTTGTTCCTTTCACTACTTCACAAATACGTTCCTCGTCCTTCAGAATAGTGGATATAGTCGAGTGTGAGAAACCTAGGTCGCGTGAGATTGTTGCTACTGTTTTTCCATTCTCATGCTGTGTTATTATCTTCATTTTTGTCTCAAAAGTAATTAACCACTATAACAAAAGCTCAGTCACTTACTACTGTTCAGTATTCAACTTTAGGATAGCCAACCACCCAATCTTTTAACTGTACAGTATTTAAAATTTTCTTGTCTAAAGGAAAATTTACATATTGTTTATATTTATACAACTGTGTGATTTTCTCATAGTACTGTACTGTATGTCTGTATACCACACATTTTCTCATAATCATTCTTTACCCTGTCAGCTTTCCAAATTCATAATTATTTTAATTACTAGATTTACTTGCCTTCATTTCTCAGTAATCTTTGAGATAAAATTTATGAAGCCATGTCCTTACATAAAAGATGGAACTCATTGATATTAGGTTTGTGCACTTCTCAAAACTTACATTTTCACTTCATTGAAGCTATCATGCCACCACCATTTTCTTCTCTTTGTCATTATGTTAAACCAAACTGTCTGCTGTTACTTTACTAAATTATGTTCTCAGACATCCCCGCTCATTCTCTGCCTCTAGTTGGTACCTGTTCAAATGGTTAATACATTAATACTTCCCCTCTCACACATTAACAACTTTTATCCTTCCCACATTCTCAATCAGCTTTGTAAACTGCATCTCACTACAATATAATTTACCATTGTACCTAACATCCTGTGATGCAGCCAACAGTGCAAGTACCAACAGCATCTGGCTACCCATAAATAGTCTTTTGTGATTGAACTATAATTCACGTTTATACATTCTCACTTTCATATAATTTATTATGCCATAAATTAGTTTACTGAAACCCATAATGACATTTTACAGCTTCAGCATATATCCACATTTATTCAACATAGTATTCATCCAACAGTGATCCAAATATCCTGTAAAGAACTAAGATTTCATAAATTGAATATAATATTTTATTAATATTGTACTGCATGATTATTACACTTCTAGGTGTGTACTGTTTAGTGGAACAAATATGTACTGTAAGTTAATACAAACCTAGAACACCTTGTAAAGCAAACCCCAATACTGTACTCAAAGGGTGAAAGAAACTGACTAGAGTTAACAGGAGTTCCTTTAAGAAATTCAGGAAAAGAAAGAAATAAAAACAAGAGGATTGAGGGAAATGTGACATATACTGTACTGTATAAAAGTGTAGCACAAGAAAAGATGATAAACTTTTTTTCTTCATAAATGCAGAGGACTCTACAAGGCGAATTTTACCTCAATCGATTAGAATTTTATCAAGTCTGACATGTTGTAAAAACTTTTACTTTTATTTGGTGCTTTATATTATTTAAGGCAGTTGCAAAAATATAGTTTTCACACCTTATATCATCTGTAAATACAGTAATGAATATTCTTCATCATTAAAGAATGCTCTTATATTTTTCATTAACAGGAATATTCCTGCATACAAATTTTGCCATATCATGATACATTGAAGTGATCCTGCTATCCCTCAGTACAGTAGTTTGGCACATGCCTATTCTGTAAAGAAACCAAATACTATAGTACAGTACTACAGTACAGTATGCTTGATTTATTTGCAATTTTATTCTCCATTTTTCACCATCTCACTTGCTATTCTATCTACACACACTGTTTTATATCTAAAGAGATGTTGCTTTTTTTTTAAATCTGATATTCTTTTCGAGTTTGTCAGCTTCACTAGACTTACTGCCACAACAAGTAATTTTTTTTTTTAGAATGTACATTACTGTACAGTACCAGTAACCAATGAAGTATATTTCTGATTCATGTCTTCCTTCACTCCACACGTTCATGTCTTCCTTCACTCCACGTTGTTCATGTCTTCTCTCACTCAACGTTGTTCATGTCTTCTTTCACTCCACATGTTGTTCATGTCTTCCTTCACTCCACATGTTGTTCATGTCTTCCTACACTCCACAGGTTGTAGAGACTGTATATTGTAGGTGCTACGATCACCATAATATTATACAGTACCCATGTAAAGGTTAAAGTTGTTGGTACAGTAATTAAGACATTCCAGAGCTCTCAATTGACAATAAATCTGTAACTTTATTTTGCCAGTATACTGTACTAACACTGTACTGTGATAGGACCTGTGGAACTAATATCTTTTTATAATACAGGTTGTACCTCTCTAGTCCAGTAACCTCGGGACCTGACCGGTGCCGGTCCATGGAAATTCACCCTTTTCCTGGATAGATAGTGACTTGTGCATACACTTGGAAGCACTAGCACCACTTTCACTGCTTCGTGGTCTCTTTGAAGATATATTGAAGGGTTAAATGTTGCACAGTAGGTTCTCAAATTTCGCGAGTTTTTAATTCAACGTTTTTTATTTGGACACAAAAAAAAACACTGCACAATTTAAAATTTAAACGGCGAAAACTCAAATTTCGACGGGTTTGAGCGGCCCGCCAACGTTCAGACATGCACAATTGTGTAAACAGCGTCATTTCTCGATGTACAAAACATTCATTATTGTTTATTACTGAATGTCTTTTTGATTGAATTAATGTTTATGTGTGCAAAATGAACAATACAATTCATTAATAATACGTAGAATATTAAAACACACGAGGAGACGAGACGGTATTGTTTTCGTTAATGTTTACAAAACCAGTGACTGATTGGTTCTATATATAAAACTGAAGAAAATAAGACCCTGGTTGTAGCTGTAGTAAAATTAATATGGTTGTTTTAAGTAATGTTATTTAATGTTAATAAATGGAACATTGGAAGTAGCTAACCATTAATGGTAAAGAAAAAAGTGAGATCACATATGTAAGTGAGCACATGTGTAAACATATTGTCATTACTCTACATAAGAATATGAAAGCAACACTTATTTACTGTTCATATATATTTTAATTAATGTTTCTGAATTTAAAACAAAAATTCTACCCACCAGTGGTGGTAAAGCTGAAATCATAAAGACAGCCAATGTTGTTGTGTGTTTTTACTCGGATGACGAAGTTGACAAGCCATCAGGTTCAACTCTAGCTAAAGCTGTAGAACATAAGAACTTGTCTGTGTTGTTTTTAGTTTTTATTTAACTTTATCTGTGTTATTTTCGTTGGTTTATTAGGATGTTGCTTTATTACAGGTAGTAATTTGCCAAAAAAGTAGGGTAAATAAGGCCAAATTTCGACAAACATCGAAAGTACCAGACTCAAATTAATTTTCTCCATGGGCAAACTAAAATCGTTCCGGACCACGGGAGTTTCCGGACCACAGAATGCCGGACTAGAGAGGTACAACCTGTAATATTTCCTATATATCATATACAGTATACAGTACAATACTGTACATATATAAAGGAACCCTAGGATATTGATAAAATTGTAATGATGTCTACAAATATAAAATGTATAACTCCCTGTTATTTTCTTTGTATTTGTAGCAAACTGAAAGTGCACTATGACAAGGAATGGCACAAGTGTACAGTATACTGTGGCAGTTTTAGGTCAAATTCACCCACTGTGAAAATTGTGTACTGTACACAGGTACAATACAGTATTTACAAAAAAAAAAAACCTATAAACAACCCCCAAATATAGTAATACTGTAGGATATACATAAGTCAGTTCAAAAGTAGAAATTATACATAAAATGGTTGATATTGCCATATAAAAGTGTGTGCCTGGCTATAAATCTCAGCTAACCCATACAAGCTTGGAAAATGGCCTTAAAACTGAGGTGATGATGATCTTATTTTTATGTACTATAGTACGTATTTAAAAAGAATATTTTTACAAACCTGCAGTGAATGCAGTTTGACATGTACAACAATGTAAGTTTTTTCATGCAACTGCAAATTTTAAATGTTGTGTTTGTAACATACATCTCCACATTATGTTAATTTGTATATGTTGGTTGAAAATATTATGAAGTAAATAGACAGTATTTGAAGTAAAAGATTTATCAGAAGGAAAATGTTTCATGTTTTGCCCTCATTTTTCCCACTAATGTATTGGTTGCTTTAGTTATCACATCAACACTATTTCAGCCATGTTGCTTGTCACATGATCTCAGACTAAACATTATGCTTCATGTAGAAAATCATAGTACCGGGATGAAGAAACTGCAGTGGATCTATTGGCCCCTACTAGGCAACCCTGTTTACTCCCAGCGCATATCACTTGTATATCTGTCCAACCTACATTGAAGCTTCTCAGCATTTTCAAGTTAATGATGGTGTTTGATAACTTGTTCCACTCATCCACAACTCTATTTCCAAACCAATGTTTACCTAGTGCCTGCCTAAATTCATCTAATCTAAAATGGTTTTATGACTGAAGAAGAAACTGGTAGTAATTTCTTGGTAATTTTAGTCTCGATTAGTCAAGTGGACATAGCATAGCTCAGTCTTCTCTTGTTTCATGTCAACAAAACAATTCTTAACCTACTTGTTTTACGATTAACTAGTGCTCAACACTAAATGAAGATGTGAGTACAGTATACTGTACATGGATTAAAGCCCTCATCCAGAATGACTATGATTAACACGAGAGCAGGATGTACCGTAGGTGTTTAAACGTTGATCTCTGGGATAAATTTTTTTCAAGACCCTTCTTTTAATCAGACTAAAGCAATTATGTTCAATTTACTCCCTGTAGTATCAATACATTATGAGTTTTAATGTTGGGTTTTGATTAAGTTACATTAAGGTAAGCTTGTTGTTAGCTTCGAATTTATAGAAAATAGTCAAAATGAGTGACATAAGTAAGCTGTTATGTTAATTGAGGTTGGAGTTGAATTGGTTAAAAAGGAAATTATATTTAGTTTTTCATAAAAGTTTATACAGTATGAAAGTTCCATTGCTTGTTGGTAAAGAAATCCACATAAAAAAGAGAGGGAAGGAGAGAAGAGTACATATGAGTAAAAAATTTATAGGATATAAAAAAATGTAATGTCTTGATTGATTTTTAAGAGGAAGAAGTGGCCTAGTGTACAGGTTTGGTACTGTAGAGAAGGTGAGGGGACAAGGTGAAAGAATGAGTGATGACATGTTCAGCAATAACATACATACTGTACTGAAAACGAAGTAACATACATAATAATTCTATCTTATCATGAAATACATTAGATTATATTCTTAACACTATTACTCAGTTATCTTAAGGTACAGGGTTTATATACCATCAACTAAGTGATAGCATGTAATACTTTCTTTAATATACCGTAATGTTGCATTTTTGTCTATACATATGCATGTTCTCGTTCACACACACACAGAGCTTAACACTAATCTTAGGGTAACTGTCCTCACCTTTACTTCAATTTAGAATACTTGATATATTAACACTTGTCTATCCATGTACAGTACTGTATTTTAATTTCAAACTTTCTCAATACCGGTATGTATAAAACAGAAATCCATACTCATACTCAAGAGCTAGACGGTGTGTTTGATTTATTTACAGTATTAAGTAAAATAATATAATTTAATGGTCAAAATAATGCTAATAACTTGAATATACTTAATACTCTGACTATTCAAGTGACACAAACTCCCATTTTCCCCATGTTCAGTAATATGTACAGTGCTGTACAGTACTTTGAAACACTATGTAAAGTTTTAGGAATCTTTTGTTTGGATCACCCAGCTTTTTTTTACCTTAAGATTAATACCTTTAATGCTAACCTAAATTAAGGTGGTCCTTGGGTTCTCACAGAAAAACAATATCTGGTCCACAACCGAAATTCTGGAGCTAAGAACAATGATGTTTTTTGTCAATTTGTTCATCCACGACAAACATTCGCCTTCTAACATTCGCTCTGTTCACAAAACCATTTACCTGTACTGTATTCTATTTCTTTTGGCTGCATAATCATTTTTCTGCAGTCATTCAATTTCTGCTAGGGATGGAGGAGACACCAATAGATGCAGCTGTTTCAACACATGACCTGTCAGTGCAATGAGGTACTCTCCTCTCTGCTTCGACACATGAACTCCTGTTGACACAATGGGGCATTCTCTGCATATTATATCCTGATGACTTGACTGATCCACCTTTCGCCTCCTGTTCCTCCCACAGGCTTGCCTTAGCCTTGGTGTTGCCGACGCGTAGCTTCTGTGAGACAAAAATTACCTCTTAGTATCAATTCCTTCAGACCATATGTGACCCACCTCCCTCCCCGTGAGTATATAACACGCTCTTCTTTATTCTCTCTGTATATACCTCTCACATACACGTAACACATATTGTGGGGTAAATAAGGAAATGGAATATTTACATTATAATAGTCACCTGTGCTTTTAGTGGGTGTGAGAGGAGAGTGGTCAGGGATGGAGAGAATACAAGAATTCAGTAATCAAATGAGAATACAAAACTTCCAATTTCTAAAAAAGCGAACATGATTACAGAGAAACAGTATCACTCCGAATGTGACTATGAATACAGTACGTTATGAAAGTATTCATGAATGCATTCATGAATAATATTGGTTAATAAACTATGTAGTGGTAAATGATTCTGTGATTGGTATTCAATATATCAAACCTGTTCTGTGTAGTTACTGTATTTATTTATACAGTACAGTACTTTCCTACTATTGTAGTTATAATAGATTAAATTATCATTAATTATTATACTAAACCTACTCTACACTTCTAACTTCTTGACAAGTTGCAGGGAGGCAGTGTTGCTGCCATTTAACAATTAAAAAAATTAAGTACATAGTACAGTACATGTTTGGCACACAAAATGAGTTTTCTTTCCAATTGCCATTAATAGTGACTATGATATATATAAAATATAAATCTAGTTCCAAATAGGAGTCTTAAATTATTGTTCAAACAATGACTTTCAGCTACAATTTGGCATCACACGGGCATACGTCTCAAACAATATGAATGCACCACCAGTAACCTGCCAACCACAGCGATGACCATTGAGAGTTGCATGTTTACCAACAGTGTTCAAATACTGTACTGTACTGTACTTAATTTCATTGTATGAAATTAAATAAGGAAATAATAACTGAACTGAGTACAGAAACAATTTGGATAGAAATAACCAATGGTAGGGGAAAATTAATCACAGGGGTAATATATATAAACCTCCTAATCTTGATAGAGTTAATGAGCGACTTATTTGGGATGAAATGCGCAGGGCATCCAGACATAGCAAAGCCTGTATAGTCGGCGACTTTAGCTTTAACCAAATAGATTGGATCAACCTTATGGGTAACTGAGAATCAGAGGATTTTCTTGAAACAGTTCAGGACTGTTTCCTAAGTCAACATATAACTGAACCCACCCAGGGTAATAATACAGTACAATACCTGTAGTATAGAGTTCGTCCTCGTCAAACGTCGGCCCGCTTAACGTTGTTTCGGTACTACGTCGCTAATCTTTAGATACCAAAAATTTGTTTAACGTCCCGATGACTCAGTACAACGTCGTTTTGCGTCGTCACGGACTACTTTTTACGGCACATCACCCTCTCGTCTGACCGCACTACGCTCTCTCGGCAACCGCAGAGTCTCAGTGACTTGCTACCCTCCTCCTCTCCCGCCCTTCTCCTCCGCTCCCACCCTCCTCCTCTGCTTCCACCCTCCTCCTCCGCTCCTGCCATCCACCTCCTCCGCTTCAATACCCACCACACACTCGCTCTACCACCTCCGCCCATCGGTGAGTACCCATACAAACTTAGTAGTGTAGTTGTATATGTATGCACTATTTTCTATAGAAAAGGCAATGATTATCTGTACAGGGTATATGTAATGTATTTCATGGTGCAAAGGGAGGCTCAGGAACGTAACTCGTGTTTTATCTTTTTTTTTTTTTTTATGGAGATTAGCCCACCCAGGCACAGGTCACCAACCTACATTGGGGCCAGGGGTTCGAAAAAAAAAATGAACCAAAAATAAATACAGAAATGAAAGAAATTAAACAAATCAAGAGTGACAAATGATATATACATACATAAGTTGTGTTGCCAAAGAGAGAGAAACAATTGAGTCCCTGCAATTGTGTGTAAATGAGGCAGAAAGTCAGATCAGCAACCTGGGACTTGGTCACAACTTTTGTGATGCCATATGGCAGCAGGGTCTACCATTAGACAACACATTAAAATTGATCCGCTTATCGTTGTTTCGTATAACGTCACGTTTTTAGGAACATAACCCCGACGTTAAGCGGGGACTTACTGTATTCGATATAGTTCTGCCAAACAGAGAAAACCTCATTAGTAATGTCGAGGTAGGGAATGAACTTGCTAACAGATATCACAAAGAAATAAGATTCCAATTAAAATTTAATGGCAGTCGCAAGGAAAATTCCGTTAAAGTCCCAGATTTCAGAAGGGCAAACTGTGATAGTTTGAAAAGCAACTGAGAGAAGGGGTATGACATTTGGGGGTGAATTACATGACCTCACACAATGTACCCACAGAGGGCGACCTCACTTTACCTGGAGACCTGACAACTATTACAGTATATACGGTATGTTGTCACAGTTTGATTGCTCGTTTTAAAGTGGCGACCACGTGGTCGCTTGTTGTCGCTGTGCAGCTGTGGCACTCACGCATGCGCACATACACACAAAAGTCCGCAAAAAAAAAATAATAATAATAATAATAATAATAATAATTAGTTTTCCAAAAGTCCGGATTCTCGGGTGATCCGGATTTCTGGCATCCGGATTTTTGGACTTTTACTGTATATGAGGTTTTATTGGAAATGACAACATTGAAAAGGGAATTTAATTTCCCCTCCCCCTAATTTTTGGGCTTAAATTTGTCTTTGCAATATTTAGGATTTTTTTTATATTTTATTTTATTTTAATTAATTTTTTTTTTACAGGGATTAGCCCACCTGGGCACAGGTCACTGACCCACATCGGGGCCTGGGGGGCAAAATTGTAATAATAATAATAATATTAATAATTCATAGTAAATAAAAGTTATAATAAAAATACAAAATTGAAATTAAAATAATAAAATAATAATAATAACACTGTAATAATAATAATAATAATAATAATAATAATAAAGAACCATAAAGAAATCCAAACATGAAAAAAAGACCAACAGTGAGGCACAATATATGTACTGTATGTTGTGTTGTCAATACTGTAGTAAGAGAAATAATTGAAACCCTGCAATTGTGTAAATGAACCAGAAGGTCAGATCAGCAACTTGGGACTTGGTCACAGTTATGCTTCCAATATCTTCCCAGGCGGTAGTATCTCCCTGTTTGGTAGCTGCCTACTACCCATATCACAAATTCGCAATACAATATGACGTTTATGCCATCAGAAACCTATGAGGGATGGATATTCCTACTTAAAAATACATAAGATAAAAGTATATTATGATTAACCACTTAAAACCTTAAATAAACACTTTTTTGCTCTTTGGCTCACTTACTATAACAGTGGACATCGTCTATGAAGGTGCCGGGGTCAAAAGTAGATATGCTTAAGCTCTGGTTACCAGTTAAAGTATGGTTCAGGTGTCATGATCGTAATGACGGCTAACTTGTTAAACTAATGATCCATATTACGCTTACACGTCCACAAAACCTTCTGAGTCTCCCAGTGGAAATGTCCGCCGTTCTCTGTTTCCTTGATGACGTCATCGAGATGTCGCATGTTTGTTGACCGAGACCCTGTGGTAGGGAGGTTAACTGAGGAATGAGTTGATATTCCTGGAAGGAAACTTTTAAAATCTGCTCCTCGGGTTTGTAGCAAGGCGTTGCGTGTTGGGACCTGTTGCCATCCAACCTTTTGTAATCAATTTAATTCTTGCTTTTGATAGCTCAGTCAGAGCATTGTTTGTAAAGATAATAATAGGGAATGAAACTGAGTTCGTAGTCTCAGTTTCAAACGTCAGAGTGTTACAGTAACGTAATTCAGTGAAATGGTTGAGTAGGTGGAATCCGTGACTTTAGTGTGGGTGGAAGGCGGCGGTTCGTTTTCAAACCAGTAAGCGCCACGCTCCTCCACCCACAGGTAGGTCACCCCACCTTCTCCGTGTTGTAATTCGCCATTTTTAAGTGATTTGACCTAACTAATAGTTTGAGTGTGCAAGTGTTACAGTAACGTAGTTAATGTGCTTTGAGTGAAGTATTTTATGCCCTTAGTTAATGTCCCTTTGAAACGTAGAGGTTCACTATGAACCGTGAGTAAGCGCCCCGCTCCTCCACCCACAGGTCCCTATCGCAGCCTAGGCCGTGTCTGTAGCGTGGATGACGCATCCACTAGTCTGGGGAGATGTCTGAGGTCCAGTAGAGTCGGGTATCCCCGTGAACCCCCAACCGTCAGAAGCTCCACTACCACCTATGGGGCCCATAGCTGGCCAGTATCCCCCTAACGCCATGCCCCGTGGTGAACCCGGATCGTCAAGCCCACAAACCACTACCAGCCCCATCATTGGTGGATGAGTACAGTACATAGCTCAGTAGGGCTATTTGTGTGGTGGTGTTAGTCCACCGGAATTATCGGAGTGTTGGAAGGTGTCACTTGGTGATGAGACTCCCATGGCGGCCGCTGGAGTGTTGCCCCTGGGGTATTGAGTGTTGTACTGGCAGATGTCACATGTTTTATTGGTGCTACGGTGCTGTGAGAGTTTGTGTGTTTTGGTGTGTGTACACCCGGTAGTGGTGCAAGTAAATTGAGCCTGAGGGCAGGGTACCAGGAGTTCCTATTTTGGGTGCATACAGCATCTTTTCTGTAACCATTTTTGTGTTTCAATAAACAATGTATTTATATGTGGGTCTATGATTCACCTATAGTATTCACCGTTGTTCTCTCCTTAATACTCGATACTATATTTACATGTACCCATGGGCCTTCCTCTCACGTCACGCTTCCAGGTCAGAGTAACAACGTAAGTTGTAAGAGTGCCAAGCCCTCGCAGGGTGGCAGCTTGTGTTGTGCGCTCTTACAATTGGTGGCCTCAGTGGTTCAGCAGTAAGTAGTAGCAGCCCGCGCTCTTACACAGGTAACATTGTCAATCATAAGGTTTTTGTTTTATCAATGCTTTATATGGGGGAGTTGGTAGTAGAGTGGTACCGTTCTTGCCTCGCAAGCAAGATGTCACGGGTTCGGTTCCCGGGCCAGTGGAAGTTGTTTGGACACTCTTCCTAGTCCCCTTCGTCCCTGTTCACCTAGCAGCACAGTAGGTACCTGCTGTAAGTCGAAAGTTGCGAATTCGTATTCAGGGACAAGTTGTTGGAACTTCCAATAACTTGCTTAGACATAAACCATTGACTCTTCAGGCTTCTACGCCCTCGACTCTTCAGGCTTCTACGCCCTTAACTCATGAGACATAAATGCAAGCATGAACTTAGCATGCTTCCCTGTTGGGCGCTGTAAACGCTTCTACGTTTCACCTTACACAAAGGATGTAGGGGGGTGCCCAATAAAAAAAAAATGCTTTGCATGGCTTGATAGCTTAGACGATGGCAAATTGCAAACCAAACCCGTTGGTCAGCTGGGAGGCAGTCACCCATTGAAAATTATTAAATGATAATGATTCAAACAAGAATATACAGGAAAGTGTGCTTTCCCCAGGCTTCTTGTCAGTTTCCGAACTGTTAAACTGTTTCCATCTATGAAACGTTCCGTTCCTTTTGTCAATTTCAGCTTGATCAATACCAATGCTGTACTACATTTTCGGACGAATGGTGGCATTCATTTGTCTCCTAGCCTTATTATTATAACTTTTATATTATAATTATTATCGCCAATATTACTGCTTTAACTACAACAAGGACTCACCACGGTGGGGTCTCCCCTCATGGTCATCTCGCGGGGTTTGGTACACTCGTGATGGATGTCGTTGGCGCTCTTAGTGAGTGCTCGTACCAGCTTCTGTATCTCCTCTATGTCCTGCTGCAAGTCCTTGTTGCTCGCCCTCCACTGGTCACTGAAGGAGAGTGGAATAACAGTAAGAGTCAAAGTGTTATTTACTTAATTCTTACCATAAATAACAACTATCTACTATACAGTACATCTGGCAGTCACCTACACGTACACTACTGTACACGTGACTATAAAGCCCCCTTTACACCCACAATTTTAACTGATATTTATGCCTGAACGACAAAACTGAGAGTTTAAAGGGTTGTTTTTTACACCGGCACATCGTTCAGGATTGCTGGATGGATTTCTAGCAGTGACAGAAATTTGTGGGCGGAGCCTACTGGTAGGAAGGCAAGCCTGAACCTCTAAGTGCTAGTTGGGCTGGACAGGAATCGATTCCTGCGATTCTAATGAGCTGCCTCCCATGAAGCGATTCCACTAACACTACAGTGAGAGTGAGTTGTCGACCATCCTACCCTGTCCTCCTGTGACGCCACACTGGAGCGTACCCGTTACTTTTACTTACTTTTATCCTCTTCACCACTGATCGGCTCGTTAGCCGCTTGGGCGATCGGTCACGTCTCTGATTACTTTTCCTTTTCTTTTGTCCTCTTCACCAAATGATGGGCTCGTTAGCCGCTTGGGCGATCGGTCACGTCTCTGTTACGCACTGTTGGCAAGTACTGGGCATGCACCGGCTCCTGAATGTACCGGAACCTGCTCCAGTGTTGGTCAAGTCTGGTCTTGAAAGAGCTCACACTAGGTGCCGTCACAACACTTTCTGGTAGATTGTTCCAAGATTTCACAACTCTCACTCCGAAAAAGTTTGCCCTCACAGTTTTCTAAACTTGCGGCTTCTTCAATCTTGAGCTGTGACCCCTTGTGGGGCGAGCGTCCTCCAGCTCCAAGTAAGGACACTCGACTGAGTAGTGCCCCTTGAGATGCTTATACACTTCAATTAGGTCGTCCCTTGCCCGTCTGTAGTATAAGCTAGGCAAGTTCAGACGCTCCAATCTCTCAGGGTAGTTGAGGTGCCAAAGTGCAGGCACCAATCTGGTAGACCTCCTTTGAACATTTTCAATCAACTGACAGTCCCTAGCATATCTCGGGGACCAGACAGGGTGACAGTATTCAAGATGAGGAAGCACTTCACTCTTGAAGATCGTTACGAGGGACGGACCGTCTAGATATCTGAACGACCTTCTTATAAGACCCAATAATTTATTTGCCTGATTTACCTTCTTCTCGCAATGGCCCGAGAACTTCAGCTCATTGTCAACATACACACCTAGGTCCTTCTCACATTCAGTCTCAAATAGTGCAGTTTCTTCATCCCGTTGGGACATATGATATGCCTCCTTACTCTGAGAGATAATTTTCTGTTCCAACATGTGAAAGACTCGACGCATTACAGAGGGGAGCAAACACCCAAACCACTGGACCTCACCATAACAAACGAGGAGGGTATGGTGGTCAAGATACAAATATTACAAGGGTAATTACGACGGGATGAGGGAGGAGATGAGGGATATCCACTGGCCTGACTCACTAAGGCATAAGAACGCGGACGCTACACTAAATACCATAGCTAGTAGAGTAAATCATTTGATCGAGAAATACATACCCAAGACCAAACCCAGTGCCCCTAGGATTACAATGAGACCGCTTCACATGAACCATGCGGCGGTCGACAAAGTTAAGAAGAAAACCCAGAAATTCAAGACGTGGGTCAGGTCGAACGATGAGCTGGACAGGACAATATATGCAAGAGCCAGGAACCAAGCAATGGCAGAGTGTTGAACGGCTGAAAGGGAGTTTCAGAGGCTAGCTGCAAGCGAGGTCAGGACAAACCCAAAGGCGTTTTACCTCTATGCAAAGTCGAAATTAAAAACACGAGTAGGAGTATCGAATCTGAGACTTAATGATGGTAGGTACGCATAGTCTGACCAGGACAACGCTGAGGCACTGAACAGCTTCTTTTCCTCGGTGTTCACAAGAGAGGATGCGAACAATCTTCCTGTGTTTGAGGATAGGCTGTACGACACAGCACTGACCCACATTGTGTTCACAGAATGGATTATATGAAATAGACTGTCAAAGCTAAAAGTTCATAAGAGTCCCGGACCGGACAAGGTGCATCCCAGAGTGCTGAGGGAGTTGTGCAACGAGCTTACTGAGCCCCTGAAGATCCTGTTCTGTAAATGCCTGAATGAGCAAAAGGTCCCCAGTGATTGGAAAATGGCTCATGTGAGTCCTATCTTCAAGAAGGGCGATCGTCACTCTACATGAATAACTATAGACCAGTGAGCCTAACAAGCATAATATGTAAAGAAACAACCTCGTAAATGATCGCCAACACGGTTTTATGCCGGGACACTCCTGCTTGACACACTTACTCAGGGTAATGGATATTTGGACCCATATTCTGGAACGAGGTGGTAATAAAGACAACATATACCTAGATTTGTCCAAGGCTTTTGACAGTGTACTCCAAGAAAGGCTGAAAATTAAGCTGGAAGGGTACGGGATTTGGGGAAATATCCTGGCTTGGGTAGAGGACTTTTTACATGACCCAAGCAGTGTGTGGTGATTAATGGCACGAAATCATCATCTGTATCCATAACAAGCGGGGTACCACAGGGCAGTGTATTGGGCCCGCTGCTGTTTGTTTGCTTCATAAATGACATGCCTGAAGCTGTACATTCCTCCATACAAATGTTTGCGGACGACGCCAAGTTATTTCGGGAAATTAAGAACCAAGCAGAATGTGAAGAACTGCAGAAGGATCTCTGTGAGCTTCAAGAATGGTCGAAGAAATGGCTGCTGAGATTCAATGTCACGAAATGTAAGAGGATGCACCTGGGACGTACGAACGGTAAGGAGGCGTATCATATGTCCCAACGGGACGAAGAGACTGCATTAAATGAGATGGAATGTGAGAAGGACCTAGGTGTGTACATTGACAATGAGCTGAAGTCTTCGGGCCATAGCGAGAAGAAGGTAAACCAGGCAACTAAGTTATTAGGTCTTATAAGAAGGTCGTTCAGATATCTAGATGGTCCGTCCCCCGTAACGATCTTCAAGAGTGAAGTGCTTCCTCATCTGGAGTACTGTCACCCCGTCTGGTCCCCGAGATATGCTAGGGACTGTCAGCTAATTGAAAATGTCCAAAGGAGGGCCTCCAGATTGGTGCCTGCACTGCGGTACCTCAGCTACCTGAAGAAATTGGAGCGCCTGAATTTGCCTACTTTGTACCACAGGCGGGCAAGGGGAGATGATTAAGGTGTACAAGCATATCAGAGGGTACTACTCAGTCGAGTGTCCTTACCTGGAGCTGGCTGATGCTCGCCTCACAAGGGGACACAGCTCAAGGTTAAAGAAGCTGCAAGTCCGGGTGACTGTGAGGGGTAACTTTGTCGGAGTGAGAGTTGTGAACTCTTGAAACAATCTGCCAGAGAGTGTGGTGACGGTAGCAAGTGTTAGCTTTTTCAAGACCAGACTTGACCAACACTGGAGCAGGTTCAGATACATTCAGGAGCCGGTGCATGCTCAGTATTTGCCAACAGTGCGTAACAGAGACGTAACCGATCGCCCAAGCGGCTAACGAGCCGAACAGTGGTGAAGAGGATAAAGGTTAAAAAAAAGTAAGAGCCACCCCAGATATGAGAGCAGTACTTCAAGTTAGGACAACTGCTCAGGAGTGAAATATCTACGGCATCTGTACAGCATTCCTAGCTTTTGGGAGGCAGCTTTAGCAATGTTGAGGATGTGTGGCTTCCATGACATATTAGAAGAAATATTGAGGCCTAAAGTAGCATGTCTATTTTAAAATTTGGCAGAATGATAGCATCCTGAAATGTGATTGGTGGGAGACAATCTAATTTGGAAAGTGTAATTGGTAAATACTGAGTTGTATTGACAAAAAAAAAAAAAAAAAAAAAAAAAAAAAAAAAAAAAAAAAAAAAAAAAAAAAAAAAAAAAAAAAAAAAAAAAAAAAAAAAAAAAAAAAAAAAAAAAAAAAAAAAAAAAAAAAAAAAAAAAAAAAAAAAAAAAAAAAAAAAAAAAAAAAAAAAAAAAAAAAAAAAAAAAAAAAAAAAAAAAAAAAAAAAAAAAAAAAAAAAAAAAAAAAAAAAAAAAAAAAAAAAAAAAAAAAAAAAAAAAAAAAAAAAAAAAAAAAAAAAAAAAAAAAAAAAAAAAAAAAAAAAAAAAAAAAAAAAAAAAAAAAAAAAAAAAAAAAAAAAAAAAAAAAAAAAAAAAAAAAAAAAAAAAAAAAAAAAAAAAAAAAAAAAAAAAAAAAAAAAAAAAAAAAAAAAAAAAAAAAAAAAAAAAAAAAAAAAAAAAAAAAAAAAAAAAAAAAAAAAAAAAAAAAAAAAAAAAAAAAAAAAAAAAAAAAAAAAAAAAAAAAAAAAAAAAAAAAAAAAAAAAAAAAAAAAAAAAAAAAAAAAAAAAAAAAAAAAAAAAAAAAAAAAAAAAAAAAAAAAAAAAAAAAAAAAAAAAAAAAAAAAAAAAAAAAAAAAAAAAAAAAAAAAAAAAAAAAAAAAAAAAAAAAAAAAAAAAAAAAAAAAAAAAAAAAAAAAAAAAAAAAAAAAAAAAAAAAAAAAAAAAAAAAAAAAAAAAAAAAAAAAAAAAAAAAAAAAAAAAAAAAAAAAAAAAAAAAAAAAAAAAAAAAAAAAAAAAAAAAAAAAAAAAAAAAAAAAAAAAAAAAAAAAAAAAAAAAAAAAAAAAAAAAAAAAAAAAAAAAAAAAAAAAAAAAAAAAAAAAAAAAAAAAAAAAAAAAAAAAAAAAAAAAAAAAAAAAAAAAAAAAAAAAAAAAAAAAAAAAAAA